TCAGAGGGTCAGGAATTAAGATAATGAGTGCAGACAACACTTTCAAGACCTATAGCTGTGAAAGGAAATAGGAAGGAATAGCTATGGCTAGAGTAGTTTGTGAGATCAAGAAAAATTTTTTTTTTTTAAAGATTTTATTTATTTATTTGACAGAGAGAGACACAAGCGAGAGAGGGAACACAAGCAGGGGAAGTGGGAGAGGGAGAAGCAGGCTTCCCACGGAGCAGGGAGCCCGATGTAGGGCTTGATCCCAGGACCCCGGGATCATGACCTGAGCTGAAGGCAGACGCTTAACGACTGAGCCACCCAGGCATCCCAAGAAAATTTTTTAATTGTATTGTTTTGTATATCACAGGCTGGTGAATTCTTTAGCATGTTTAAATTCCGATAGGAAGAAATCATATTGCCCTTTTAAAATTGCATTTCTTGGAACTTGAAGCTTTATGTTGTTGGGCCACAATAAAGATAAAAAATATAGTGTCAGATCCTAACATCTGAGATACTCTTAGATTAGAAAGAGATTATAAAGTTTATTTAGGCTGAAGACATAAAAATTAGACAATACCAGAAATAATACTATGTGAGATTTTTACTTTATATTTATAGGAAACATTATAAAGATATAACCTCTATTTCCTATAATTTTAAAGTCTCATTTGTTAAACTAATAAGGTTGGATATGTGAGGGAAGATTAAATAATAAACTGTAGTTTAAGAATCCTAAGTATCCTGATGTGGAAACTCCTTTTTTAAATCCTGAGTCAAAGGTCAAGGTCAAGGAGCTCTACTCAAGCCAGGTATCAGGAAATGATTTATGAGAAAATGTGCAAGCACTGGGACAGTGACTTTATAGGGAGAAAATCAAGTCAAACCAACATAACCATTTTTCTGACAGATAACCAACCTTCAAGAAAAATAACTAGTTTTCAGATTTAATATGGAGAAATTCAGAGAATTAGAACTTTTAGGAAAAAAGCTGGGAGTGAATAAGAACTCTGAAAAAAATAGTTTGGAGCCTAGTTTCTAGCTCTCTGTTCTTTTGATTTATCCTTTTAAATTGCTTTCAAGTTCTTCAGAAAAGGCCCATCTCTGTATTACAGTCAAGATGTGTTAGTACACCTTGATTGTGGAAAAGGTGGTGCTACCTTGTGAGTAATTAGCTCTAAATAAATCTTGTCAAATCTATGCCCTGTTTGATTTGCTGTCTGTGGTCTCACCAAACTCTACAACTGTATTACTCTATTTCTTTCATTATTTCCTCTAATATTGTGTCCACCACAACTTGAGTGACTTGTAGATAAACTACTACACTAAATTCTTTTCTTGCTAACATTTCCCAGGCTATGGAAATCTTAGTGAGCTATAAAACTTTCTGCCCTAAGTATGGTATTTGACTTGTAGGAAATTAAGATAAGGATCTGAATGTAGTCTTTATCCCCAACACCCTTTAAGCCTATCTGGAGCCATTCTGCAGGGCTGTCTCTAGTATCTTGATTTTAGGACCCTATTCATGCAGTCTGGTACCAGACCAGAAACATCAGGATCTCAGTGGAGCAGTCTTGATCTATTTGGCAACCTGCACTCCTGACTTTATTCTCCATAATTACCTGTAACCCAATAATGATATGTTCATTCTAGATTTAAAAGTCCATCCTGCTGGGCATTTTGTGACTTTTCTGTTCAATGTGTTTGTTAACGTATAAAAGGATGTTCTTGCCAACATATGCCCGAGCCTGAATTTCTAAAATATATGCTGGGAAATGACCATATTCTGGGGTTGTAATAAGCAAACTTGTGAAAGGCAAACATATGGTACAGCAAAATTTCTATTAATTTTAAATATTTAAATATTTAAAGGAAAACTAACGAAAATAATCATATTGCATAGACAAATACTGTAGATAGCAGAGAACACACATAATTTTAATGGATTTAGATTTGTAAACTTGTCTGCAGTTCTTTTGGAGTTTTATGTGCACAAACATGTCTTCTGGAAATAATAGCAGTTATATATATATTTTTTGGTCTAACTTTAATGGGCTTTATTTCTTTTTTCTCTTGTTTACATTACATTGGAAAGACCTTCCAGAAAAATGTTGAATGGAGGTAGTACTAAAGAATTTCATTTTCAGTCTCAAGGAAGAAAGATTTCCATTAAATATGTTTGATATATGAGTGAATTAGGTGGTTTTATATGATTGAAATGTGTTCCTTAATTAGGTACAACTTACTTGTGATGCATTACCCACTATATATTTGATACACTTATTTTTTTACCTTTTTTTTTTTTTTAGAGAGAGAGAATGGAGGGGAGAACGGGAAAGGCAGAGGGAGAGGGAGAAAGAACCTTAAGCAGGCTCCATGCCCAGTGTGGAGCACAATGCAGGGCTCGATCTCATGACCCTAAGATCACGACCTGAGCCCAAATCAAGAATCCAACACTTAATCAACTGAACCACTCAGGAGCCTCATATTTACATTTAGTTTTTACATACAGTTTTATATTTAGTTGCTAGTATTTTGCTTAGAATTTTTGCAAATATGTTTAGAAGAGAGAATGGCCATTCATTTTCTTTCCGTGTAAACTCCTTTCCAAGTTTTGTTTCCGTCTTATATTTGCCTCATTAAATGAGTTGAGGAAAGGTTCTTTTTTTCTGTTTTCTGACAACTTTTAAGAAAGTCTTTTTCTTTCTTCCTTTCTGCCTGCCCCCCTCAGTTTTGTATTGATTTTACTGTCATGTGTAGTTTTGTTTTATCGTGGATGGATAGTGAATCTTGAATCTTTGTTTTGATGTTTTTAACACATTTTTGAAAACCCTTGGCCATTATGTCTTCAGATGGCTTTTGCCCTATCATATCTCTCTCCTGTTTTTAAGACTACAATTATTTATACGAAAACAATGAATCATGGATCACTACATCAAAAACTAATGATGTATTGTATGGTGACTAACATAACATAATAAAATTAAATTAAATTAAAAAAAGAAAGAAAGACTACAGTTATATATTATAATCCTTTCCCATGTTTCATTTGTTTCAGAAACTATTGTTTTTATCTTTTTTATCCCAATATTTTACTTTCAATATTTCCTACTTATTTTTCAGCTTATGTTTGCCTCATCTGCATGCATTCTGCAAGTTCAGTTCCTCTATCAAAATTTTAAGTTAAATTATTACATTTCTACATGATTTTTTCATATAACCTAATATTCTTGAAACACTCCAGATTGTTATCTATAGTAAAATATAGTAATGACAGTTATTTTCACATCTATAATTGTGATACTTCCTTTCAGAGATACATCTGGAGCACCTCCAAGCCTGTTTCTATTACCTGTTTTTCTCCCTAGGTCTAGTTTATTTATAGACCTGCTTTTTTTACCTTAATGTCAAGCACTACACACATGCACAAGAAATCAGAGTTTCTATGAGGTTACCTTTTTCTAAAGGTTTTTATTTTGACTGTTTGTTGACATTTAGATTGGTACATCACCTTAATGCACTCAGAGACATCACTGATTCAGACCTAGGTTTCTGTCTTTGTATTATCTTGTCAATTTCTATTTCCCTTGCCTCCTAGGATAGAGCCCTTCAGAGAGTTCAACTGAGACCCTGTGTATTTACCAGAGTCTCTCATCTTGCTGGTCCTTGAATTCAAATTTTTATCTTTCACAGTCTGTTTAGCTTCTCAATCTCCAATAAGTCATTTTCTGCCTGTCTAGCAGTGCTTCAGATCACAAATACCTCTGGGGAAAAGTGGTGCCCAATGACAGCCTTTCTCAAACTTTCCTCCTTTATGGCCCCTCATTTGTTTCTCAAGTTCTGCTACCTTTGGAGCCCATAAAATTCCAATATCCATCTTTTCCTCCAAGCCCCACGATACTTTTTCTCAGTTTCTTACCCTGTGCTGTTTATAATTAGTAAATACCTTTAGAGGGAAAGAAAAAACAGTATAGAATTTTGAGCTGACTTCCATGAGTTTTTCTTTATTCTAAGATCTTGGTCTTTCAAGTCTTGGTTGTCTTAGTAGCTATTGTTAAATTCATTTAGTTGTTTTGAAATTATATGTAACATTTTTTTCTGGTGAGGGGTTTAGTCAGCTACAAGTTATTGCCCTGTAATTGGAAGCAGAATTCTCCATACTTTCTGTTTTGAAATAAGCTATTTCATTATTATTGTTAAATATCTAATTCATTTTCATTTTTAAATTGTTTTAAGGACTTAATTAGCGCAGCATCAGAATACTTGACTGGGTCTTCTGGGCCTATCATGCATATACTGAGAGTCTTCTCCTTAATATAGAGTATGGTATTTTAAAGACTTCATTGTTATGATATTAACAGATTTAGTAGCCGAACTTAAGTATCATGAATTTTTCAAAATTTTAAAGTTTATCACATAGACATTCATATATATGGTTAAAATATTTGTTAGTACTGAGCTACTACATTTTGTAATTTTTTTTTAATTGGTTGGGCATGGAATATGAAACTCAACAATTTACTTTTAAATTTATTGCCAATTTGTTTTACAAACCATGTTTCATAATTTCTCATCATGAAAATCACCTACTTCTGTAAAGGAACATTTACTATAACCTCACAGGAATCATAATTTAGAATAGTATAATTAGATGATCTACCTCAATTTCAAATGGATTAAGTTAACATTTTATTAGCAATCAATTTTAGAAGAGGCATGTTAGTAATTTACTGTTTCTGTTACTTTTTCAGGTTTTTTATCTTAATGTCCTACTAAATATAGATAACCTATCTTTGAAATCATTTTAAAACTAGAAAAAAAGATAATTAACAATTCATTTATTGCTTCCCAGAGCAAATTATTTCACCCAAAATAGATCTTTCTGACTTACATTAATAATGATTAACATAAGGAGACATGCATTGATTTTCCCTATAAAATTCTAAAACTCTGTGTGTTGTTTTGGACAATTCATAGCACTTTATAAACACCATCTTTTTGTGTGTGATTTGTAGGCTGACAGCACCTAGCCATTCATTGACACCTCAAAGTGATATGGACTCCAGTAGCTCTGAAGAATTCTATCAGGCTGTCCACCATGCTGAGCAAACCTTCAGAAAAATGGAAAGTTACTTGAAACAACAGCAACTCTGTGATGTTATTCTGATTGTCGGGAACCGAAAGATACCTGCACACAGGTATAGTAACTTGTCTTTATTGGATATAGAAGTGACAGTCTGGTATGTAGAATACAAAACATTCAATGATCAGAGAATTAAGAATCCATTTTTTTTGTGGTACAATAAAACTTTATTAATGGGCACTGGGATTTGAATTTCATATACTCTTCACATGTAATGGAATATATTTATCCTTTGATTTTTCCCACCAATAGAAATGTAATATCTGTTCTTAGCTTGTGAGCTGTGCAATAGGCAGCAGGCCAGACTTGGTCCACGGGCCATAGTTTGCTGATCCCTGTGTTAAAGAACTCAAGATTTCAAGCCTTTGATTCATGGAAGAAAGAAAGGAGTTCAAATGCAATTTGAAATATTTTGACTTTGATATTTTGTTATGAATTTCCAGGTATTTTATAATATATATGGTATGTGGATACTTTATTATAAAAATATTGTTTGTTTCCATGTGTTTATTCATTCAGTAATTGTTATGCTCTCAAATGTTGTCAGGCTCAGAGATTAGATGATCAAAAATCTACTGTGAATGAAAGTTAAGATTTTCCAATAAGAACATCAAGAATAACTTGATATTCCATCTATTAACACATGTCGTCTTCGTAGTATTATGCTTTAACTGCAAAAAAAAAAAAAAAAAAGATGAAGCATACAGGTAAATTTGCAGAATTTTAAATCATAATATAAATGTATTCTACTAACTTTGTCAAATAATCATAGCTAAGTCTATTTATAGTAGTTGAGAATCCACATTTTTGAGGGAGCTTGAGTTATTTTTCTTCTACTCTTTATTTCTTTTGGGAGGAGAATTATAATGTCATTTTAAGTAATCTCTTTTAATAAGTAAAGCAAATATAAATACTTCAAAAATAAAACTTCCTCTACCTAGGGTTCATACATAGTCCATTTTATGTGACTCATAATTGCACTAAGTGGAAATCCATTTTAACTTAAGAGAATGTACCTAGGATCTGAAATGAGATATATGTTTCTGCCAAAATTAAAAGGAAATTAGGTTAGGGCGCCTGGGTGGCTCAGTTGGTTAAGCGACTGCCTTCGGCTCAGGTCATGATCCTGGAGTCCCTGGATCGAGTCCCGCATCGGGCTCCCTGCTCAGCAGGGAGTCTGCTTTGCCCTCTGACCCTATCCCCTCTCATGTGTTCTCTCTCATTCTCTCTCTCTCAAATAAATAAATAAAATCTTTAAAAAAAAAAAAGGAAATTAGGTTATCTTGGGTATATATTATTTGTTTCAACTAGGAAATTCAAAGTATTTCATGTTAATATTTTTATTTTGCATTTATTAATTTTTTAAAAAAATTATAACATACTAATATTATCCTTAAGGTACAATATATTTGAAAGCTAATGTACTTTTAAATATTCCCTATATATCTGTGATTTATAATTCTAAGTTACATGAACTGAACATCCAATTATTTTGTGCATTAATTTCTTATCAGCTTACTTATGAAAATTAATTAAATTTGATGTTGGGTTTTTTTACTTGTTTCTCTATTTTTTATTTTGAAATTGTAATTGGGAAAATAATTTTAATTTAATTTTGATACTTCTTATTTTATTATTTTAAATAGTTGAATAAATAGGCAAATAGCCTTAGACTACCTTGATGTATATGTTTAATACTATTAATGCTGATGAATTTAGAAGAGGCATAAGTTACCAACATATAAAAAATATTTTCAGTGTACTCCTCTTTCCTATACTTTTAATTTAAATTTCGTTATGTAGATAATATATATACATCTAAGTGCTGACTATTAAAAACATTCCTGAAGAATTAAGCTGTATTTCTACTATGATAGCAATATTAAAATGTGAAAGTGAATTTGATACACTAGAAATGCATAGGAGGGAACATTTAGCATTGAATAACTAATGTAGGTCTGGTAGGGTTCAAAATATCAGCTAACTCTGGCAACAATTCTAATAATATACTATTCACACGCATTTTCAAATATTTCTATGACAATGCATTATTATTGGCAAGAAAGCCATTAAAAATAGTCATTATTATTGAGATATTTAATGTTGTAATATGTGTGGCAAATATGCAAATTATCCTGAACTATCATCTAAATAACATCTAGATAAAAATTCTATTGTAAGAAGTATTCTTAATTTGAGAGTGTAACTAAATTTACTTTATTTAACTTATAAATTCATTAAATATATATATTATATATGTGTGTGTGTGTTTAAGAAGATAGAGGGACTCAATCAACTCAAAAGTATATTAGCACATCAAATGTTCGTTAATATTTTAAAAAAGCGGTGTTGCATGTAATTTACAGTCTTATTTTATAGCCTTATATTGGTAGTAATTTAATATTTCTCATTTAATATTTCTCACTTGAAGCATTTTTAACCAATATACTGAGCAATTCTCTCATGTTAATTATATTCTACATTGTTTTCTTTGTTACTCTTTTTATCTAGATCATCAATATTATTTTCTAAATAATGTAATTATATAAGTTATTTTAAAATAATCCAGATGACTAAGAAATAAAATTGCTTGTTGGTTTAGATTATTCTAAAACATCAGAGTAATTATTACTTTTATACATATTACTCTGAACATTTAAATATTTTATATAGTTAGCAGATATTAAAGCAAGTAATTATTGTCAACCATCTATATTTTCCTTAAATGTGACAAGAAAAATTTTAGCCTAAGGCTCTCTGCTAAATTAATGCAAATAAGGATTTATATTTATTTTATACCATGAGTTAAGACTTAGTACTACCTATTTTATAAATAATTTATATAGTTATGATTCTAAGTTAAACATACATTAACAATATGTGGGAAAACATTTATGGGGCACCGGAAAAAGGCAAATGCTGTTTTTAGTAACTGCAGATACATTGCACACCCTTATTTACAATTTGTACAGTAAAATGATAGTAATTAATGCAAGATTAGTTCTTTGCTTTAAACAAATAATCATCTTAGCTATAGTAACTAAGGAATGGATTTTGAAGTTATTTTGTTATATTTTGATTAGCACAGATGAGATGAGTATTGCCTCAGGGCAAAATATATATGATGTTACAATCATTAGCACTGGAACATGGGGCTATTATAATAATTTCAAATAATGAAAAAAGAAACAACTACACTAAGACCTACTGCTCCTTCAGGAAGGACACTGAAAGCTAATCTTATAAGCACACTCACTAAATACCCATTCATAAAGTCATGTATATTTAATTAATTATTATCTCATCATTCAAAATTTTCAAATCAATCCCCACTTAAGTTAATAGATTATGACTATTAAAGGGCTCTCCATAAAACCCTTTGTTTTTGTTCTGGTTATATTGTATATACGTTTTTAACCTGATATAAGTAACAACTATCAATGTATTTATGAAATGCCATGTTTATATAGATACGTTTAATTACTACTACGCATATTTTTAAGTAAATTAGTTCTAAAATGCTAATAATACTTAAGATGACACACTAATACCGCTTTGGCATGGAAAATAATCAAAATTCTGAATTCATCTGTGCTTTAAGTTTTCAGAGAAATTCTAAAATAAATATAAGCTTCTCATAAATGGCCCAGAATAATTGATTAGCAACAAGTGAACCAAGAAACTAAATATAAATCCCTTAGTACTAAATATAGAGAACTTCTTGCTAGGTAGCTGCCTGTAATCAGGGATGCCAGATGCTAAAAATTAGACTGACAAGATCAATATTAATAATTGGACAGCCAAATTTTCTTTTCTTTTTTTTTTAAGATTTTACTTATTTATTTGTCAGAGAGAGAGAGCACACAGGGGGAGCGGCAGGCAATGGGAGAAGCAGGCTCCCCATGAGCAAGGAGCATGATGCAGGACTCTATCTGAGGACCCTGGGATCATGACCTGAGCTGAAGGCAGACACTTTAACCGACTGAGCCACCCAGGCATCCCTGGATAGCCAAATATTCTTTTTTTTTTTTTTAAATGAGCTATTTTTTTTTTTGAAGAGTGTATTTATTTATTTGTCAGAGGGAGAGAGGGAGAGAAAGAGAGCACCAGCAGGGAAAGCGGCCGGCGGAGGAAGAAGCAGAGTCCTCATTGAGCAAGGAGCCCGATGTGGGACTCTATCTGAGGACCCTGGGATCATGACCTGAGCCGAAGGCAGATGCTTAACCAACTGAACCATCCAGGTGTCCCGCCAAATTATCAATGTTAGGAGAATTAAGGGGTTTTCAGGGCCTACTTTGTTACAATGTACAGGTATAGAATGAAATATCATTTAGCCTGTGAAAGTCTTTTCCCTCTCTAGCCATTATTAAGAGTAAGTGCATTCGACAGAAATGAATGAGAAAATCTTAAATAACTAACATTCTCTGAGTTGGAAATAATATTATTTATAATTTTATGTGCATAGAAACAGTGTGGAAGGATATATAACATACTGTCAATAAAGCCTATTCCTGGGAGATGGGAGTGAGCAGGATAAAGAGGAGTTAGCATTTTTTTAATGTATAAATATATATATTCTTTGAACTCTTTAGAGTGGCCATGCAATAATTCATGATCAAATAAAGACTTAAGTGAAAAATAAAATGGTGATATGTGATGGAGACAGATATAATCCTGCTCTGTAGACCAAAACCCTGGGCATTTCATTTAACATCATATTCTGTTTTCATTTTTGTCTATGTTTGATAATAGATTTAGTTATTTCAAGAATATATATATCATAAATATATAAGTCATATATATATGATATATATGATTTTAGTGTTTTTTATTGAGCACTAGTATCATAAAAATAGTTGAAGCTAAAAGTGGCATTTGAAATGATGTATTTAGAAACACTTAGGGGCTCATAGACACTTAGAAACACCTGGGTGGCTCAGTCTTTTAAGTGTCTGCCTTTGGCTCAGATGATGATCTCAGGGTCCTGGGATCAAGCCTCAAATCAGGCTCCCTGTTCAGTATAAACCATACTAGTAAAGCTAAGTATAGAGTCAA